TAAGCGAGGATCAAAATGGCGGAGAGCTGCTCATTATTGATATATATGGGCGGTGGATGGAGATAAAGCAAACTAAGCTCAGAAAACACGAAACTTTTTGAATGACCCTCTTTGTTTGTTTGTCCTTCTTGGAACGGTTACTAAGTGTCATACAGTTCAAACGACATCAAAAGACTCTGATGGGTGGCTTTTGGTGCAGCAAAAAAGTGATTGAGATTGATCTGGCGCTAATGCAGCACACTCCTTTGTAAACCTAAGGAGCTGAGCGCTGCCAAGAGCAGCGTAGTATGTGACCTTCTGTGAACTGTGGCGGTGTAGGAGAATGATCCAAACATTGGACAGTGTTTCTGAGTGTGTATGTCAAGCCACTTGGCCCACGGGGAATGCATCTTGTGTGCATCTTTCTTCCCTGCAACTCGGCAATCCAGGCAATGGCAGAAACATGGTAATCAACTTCAATATCACACACGATTGGAATTATACACAAAAGCATTTTGTATACAGACATGTTTCCCTGTCATTTCATATACATAAGGGGGTGAGCAAAAACCTGTTCACAGATATCACTGCCTGGATGAGTGGATTAAGCCTGCCATACTACCCTAGCAAGCTCTTGACCATAAACATAGGTTTCTAAGTGTGTGTGTGTCCGTGCATCCATGCATTTGCAAAGCAGCATCACAACTTTCCGGTTGCTAGCTGTGCTTCTACACGCTCCAACTGGCGCCTCCAAACAACATCCTTAGGATGAGCAATCACATGTGCATTTAGCACTCCCTTGATTGCAATGATGATTGCTTCTGCTTCCGTTCTTTTGGTCACTGAACCCCACTTCGCGGACATCCCCCCACTGCCCCTTCCAAACTTGAGTGGAGCTGTGGTACAAGATAAAGCAACCCCCAATATGCCTTGGAAGATCTGTGAGGCCTTTGCACTCAAGCGAAAGCCATTCTTCACGCCGGTGAAAGCTCTTCACCCGTACTGGCACAGGACCGCCGGCTGGAACAGGCACTTCATCATCCGAGTCAGCAAGGATGAGACATTCATCTTCTTGGTCTCTCTCGCGCTCCATGTTGACCCGCAGCTGCTCATCTGCCAGGGCATGGACGTCGTCTTCCTGAGGTTCCCCTTCACACTCCATGGCATCCTCGTGCTCTTCCTCATCATTCTGCAGATCTTCCACTGTAGTTGGCTCATCCAAAACCGAAGGAATCTCTGTGGCGGTTGCCTCCTGAGAACAAAGACGAACTAGGCGAAATGGAGTTGCACCAGCTGACCCTGTTGACAGTGTCAGCTCCGATGGTTGCTCACTCAACCTCAAATTGAAGGAAATGCAATTGCGGTTGACCTGCTTTGCATCCTGAATCTGCAGTTTACGCTTCCTGCAGAAAATGAGCCGTTGATTGCAAGAGGCTGTCCATGCATTGTAGGACTGCTGCTGACTTGTGGTCAGCTCGCGACCCTCGATTGCCCGGTTCTCGATGGTCTTCTGCCACTTGTCATGCTCGTTTGCAAACCGGCAAGCCCGCGTCCCCACTTCACGGCCTATGAAATCTGGCAATCCCACGCGTGTGGAGATATCATCTCCATTCTGAATTGCCCACGTGTAGTTCTTCTCACCTTCCTGAGCAGCAAGTATCGACACACTACCAGGTCACCGTTAAACATCATATAGATTCATATAGGGTTTTGAGAAATCTTGCTACAGTGTATGCTGCTCACGTGATTGGAGAGTGCAAAGGGTGGGCAACAGGAGTTTCCAAGTGCAACAGTTGTCTACTTACATATTGCTTTTGCAAGGGAGCTTCCAGCTGCTTCAATCGCATATGCCTGATTGTTCCATCCTCAGCACCATCGAATTCCGGCAGCTCTGTCAAATGGCACACGGCTTGCATTGATGAGCGGCAGCGCTGAAGCATCTTCTGGAACTCCTTGACATCTCCTTAGGCAGCTGATTGGACAAATCAATACAAATCAAACCTTGCACTCCAAAGAGCAACAAAACATCTATTAGTTCAAAGGACACATCTTGAAGCATCGCTGGAAAATCCACTGGGACAAGTCAGCCTGTGTGCTGTATCCACGCTGGTACCAAGCCAACCAAATGCACACTTAGAAACTCTTGGGAACTACCCTCCCCAGAACACAAACAATATAGACCGCAAAAGGTTACACAATGTGAAGTGAAGTGTCTGTTCGCTGGATAGCTGTTGAAGGGCCCATGCATCAGCGCGCAGTGATACTTCAATGGGACACCTGAGTGCCGGTATTCAATATGGGCGCCACGTAAACTTAAGTAGCCAGAGCTATAGGAGCCAAATAAGATTGTTCAAAACAGCCCCTTCTCCATCAAAAAAGGTCATTTGAGGGAAGGCACTTCGTTTGTGGCTCTGCTTGAATGCTCATTTCCAGCTCATCCAACCTCTTCCTCAAAAGAGGCGCCGACCCCCAGCCCACCGCACAGCGCAGGTAGCCTTTCGTTAGGCCGTGAAGGGCAGCATGCCACCGGTCGTTTGGCCCGGCGGCTGCTCCAAAGCCCCGGGGCACGGGTACTTCAGAATGTCCGGATAGCAACTCCTGGGTCAAAGCACGGGTTCTGTCACTCTATATTCTATGAACCCTCTCCACCCTCAAACAAACATCCTTGGTGAGACCTTTGTAAGAGGAGGATCCTTATGAATCTGGCACTCTGGGCCACTCTGGCTTCCAATCTCTTGAGAAAAAAGAAACGGTAAAATGTATACAGTATACTAATATATATATATATACAGTATATATATATATGTGTGTATGTGTTTGCACAAAACTAGCTATATTTACACTAGCTATTCAATTTTGAATGAATGGGTTAGTTCACACAAAGAAACCAACGCCAAGAGAATTAACTGCAGAGATAGTGTCAACATTGCGTTGATGGGACCATTGGGTCTGCAGCTTCTGAAAAGTGGTGGACATGTAGCACCTGCCTGGTCAAAAATGACCAGTCCTCCATCGGAATGCTTCAATCCTAGCTGCAACCTGCGAACACGTAGTTCACCAGATAGAAAGTCCAAATATCGAATCATTCTCGCTTCATTCCACACATGGCCTTTTGACTGAGGTGGCTTGCCATCTTCCGGTGCTTGGTTTTGGGGTTCAACTGTGCTGGGTGCTGGTTGGCTTTGGCTGCTGTGGCCGGAGAAGGTGGCTGTAGCGGCTTGCCATCTTCCAATGCTTGGTTTTTGGCTTCAGCCGTGCTGGCCAATGGTTGTGTTTCTATGTGCGCTGAAGGCCCTGCTGCTTGCTGGCGCCGGTTCTCATTCTGGGCTAGCATTGCTTTGGCTGCTGTGGCAGGAGAAGGTGGCTGTGCCGGCTGGCCATCTTCCGATGCTTGGTTCTTGGTTTTTCAGCCGTGCTGGCTAAAGGTGATGCTTCACTGAACGCTGAAGGTCCTGCTGGCTGCTGGCGCTGGTTGGCTTTGGCTGCTGTGGCCGGGGAAGGTGGCTGTAGCGGCTTGCCATCTTCCCCCGATGCTTGGTTTTTGGTTTCAGTCGTGCTGGCCAATGGTTGTGTTTCTATGTGCGTTGAAGGCCCTGCTGAAGTTTGTGCTGGCTGCTGGCGCTGGTTGGCTTTGGCTGCTGTGGCAGGAGCAGTTGCCTGTAGCGGCTTGCCATCTTCCGGTTCAACTGCGCTGGCTAAAGGTGATGCTTCACTGGGCGCTGAAGGTCCTGCTGGCTGCTGGTGCTGGTTGGCTTTGGCTGCCGTGGCACGAGAAGGTGGCTGTAGCGGCTTGCCATCTTCCGATGCTTGGTTCTTGGGTTCTACTGTGCTGGCTAGGGGTGATGTTTCTATGTGTGCTGGAGGCTCTTCAGGATGAGAAGTGTCTCGAACGCCACACCCTTCCCGGGACCTCTCACAGTTGAACATCCTTTGCATCGCATCCAACTGATCCCTTTGGTCGATGATGTGGGTGGCCTTCTTCGGTGCTGGAATTGGAATGCCACACCTGGCCCCGGACACCGCAACACCTTTTGCTATTGCAAGGACCTGCTGCCTTTGTTCACGTGTTATGGGGTGCCAAACAATCCTGCAGGCATCTTGCGGATCAGTTGGTGAAGCATGGGCTTCCTCTAAGTCAGGAGATGCTGAAGTCTTCTTTGGTAAGCAGGTTCTTTTCACACCGGCTGGTTTTCGCAAGTCAGCAATGTCCTCCTCCGTCAGCTTTTATTCAGCTTGTACTTGCTGACAGAAGTTATGTCTCTCAACTTGCATCATTTCCTGAGTTTCTTCATTTCTTTTCCAAAAGCAATGGCAGGTAGTGTCATAGCCGATTGTAAACCTCACCGCGTGAGATTTGGGGTCGAGGAGCTCAATCTTTGGAAACAATTGAGTTCTCTCCGGCAAGACCTCGGCAATTTGAAGTGCACATGAACAAACTGCAAGACTTTGTCCTGAAACACAAACACCAACTTTTCCCTAACATGTCCAAACCTCAAACATAGCTGGTCAGAGACTTCCATTTAAGCCTTGAGTGTGCCAAGCTACTGCCTCCGGAAGCATCAGGAAGTCTTGGCCACTAGCTTCTGTTCGGGTTCTCGAGGTAGCCAGCAAACTGTAGTGGCCAAACGCACGATCCTCTTCCAAAGCTTGTTCAAAATGAAACAGCAAATGGGCAGTCACGGGCCCGTCTCCGTAGGAAACATCAGCCACCTTGCCATTACAAAGTCCAACCTGTTCAGGGGTTGCAGAGAACACTGGGCATGCGGTAGCGCAAGGCAAACCATACTTGTTCTTGCAATCTTGGGCGTACCTCCATTATATACATATATATACTATACTGTGTGTGTATATATATATATTTCTATAAGTGTATAAGTCTGGGGGGGGACTGAATCTGGTCAGGGTTTCTAAGTGTGGGTTTTTGAAAATCCCCACAGCCTGAGGAGCGCAAGTGCATCGTATTGTGAAGTTGCAAGCACGGGCTATCCACTCCAGGTCAGTTGGAATAAACTGTGGATCTGCGATCACACGATGGATGGCATCATGGAATCTTGGATGACAGACTTCAAGCGCTTGCTTGCACACACTGCTGTGGAGTTTTGTGGCAGCTTCCTCCTGCTCCAGCAGCAGTCTTCTGCTACATAGGTATGCAGCTTGATTCCGGGGAATTTGCTGATACCTAGACAGATCCTGACTTGCCACTAGGGCATGCCAACCACACTTGCCACCTGAAGCAATCGGAATCTTCTTGAATTTTGATGTCCTGAATCTTTGGCCTTGCTCTGACCTGATTTGCAGAAATACACTCATGAACGTGGGACACCACAGCCTCACAGATCTTTTTTGTAGCAGCTTCCACATGTGAGGTGCCTAGTTCTTGAAGCCAGCAAATGTTGTAGCATAGTCGGCGCTGCTGGTCTCTGGGGTGTGTAGTATAAGAAACAGAGCATGCTTTGCTGTCATTTGTGTCCTCCACCAGTTCCCAAGCTGCTACTGCCCGGTCATCGGAGTAGTCCACAGAAATCAATAGCGGGCTAGTAAATGGAAACTGTCGCAAGAACTCCAGAGCATCCGCTCTCCAATTCTCAGGGCTGCCCACCACAATTGCACCGCAAGGAGTCAAGGAGACGGTATCACACTTGGATTTCACCCGTGGGTGCTCTAGCATGGTCTGAATGGACTCCTTGCCAACGACAATCTGTGAGGCATGATGCTTGGCATTCCATGCCTTCTTGGCTAGCATCAATCCTGAGATACCTTGTGTAGATGCTCCCAGATTGAGGAAGGCAGTCAAGCTACCTCGATGCACACGCACAAAAGAGCCAGGCAGTGGCACAGTAGAAATCTTGGACACTGTGAGCATGTTTGCAGTCACATCCTCACAGTCAGGCATGTTTTCCATGGCCATTGCATCCTCATTCAGCTGACCCACCACTTTTGCAACATCTCCCTGTGCACAAAGCTCGTCTGCAGCTTTTTCAAGAGCAGCCTCTGGCATGGCAGTCTTTTGAACTTGCTTCAAGCTCTTGTGCAAGTCTCCCCTCTTGTAAGAGACATTCATTGACATGGTCCACTCGTAAGCTTTTGCAAGGCTGGGCAACCTCTTTGTAAGCTGCTCTGAGTCACAGCTAAGTGACGCTTGGAACCATCCAGCTTCAGCGTCGAGCTCGATGGCTGTGGTCTTAAGCAAAGAAATATGTTTCAAAGCAGCGGCAAGGATCGGAAGCTCTAAATGGCGAACACACCCAAGACTTGCCCGCTCCATGATTCCTTGCTTGATCTTTGGAAGAGAAGATCCGGAAACCGTGCTCAGACCCATCTCCTTCAGCCACGCTGCGCGATCATTGACCTTGGCCGTGGCTGCTTGGACAACAGGACCAGCAAAAATCAAACTATATCAGACTCTGCCGTAGGGTGTAGTTAGGATTAAGGACAATCGATCACTGACCACTGGTGAACCTTTCAAAATCTTTCAGGTTCAATTTCCCAAAGATTTCTACCAAGCCACCCATCCTTGGCAACAGAAGGACGAGCTTCCGACATCCTTGGTTGACATGGGTGGGAAAGCACACATAGAGCCCCCCGGCATATGCCATCATAGCTGATTCAACCTGACCTCCAAACATGCCAACTCTCCGCATTGCAAACACCAGTTGCAAGCGGCAATTAAGCTGTGCATTTTGCTTGTGTACTTGAGGAGGTTCATCCAGCCAAGGGTCTCTTCCGCAACCCCTCCTGGAAGAGACTCGTCGTCGGTCTCGGGAGGTTTGCCACTCGGAGGTGGCAAAGGTGGTTCTGCCATGGCTTCAGGCTTAGGTGGCTAATCAAAACAGGTCACAGGGAGGACATGTTGTTTTGTGATGTTGTGTGCTGACTGTACAAAACATGTGCGTGGCCACAATGGCTAGATGATAGGGCGTGGATGGGAACCCAAAATTCCAAGAAATGTATATAATGCACTATAGTGAGTGTATTGTTTAAGCTTTGCTGTTTCTAAGTGCAGCGTGCCGTTTCTAAGCGTTGAGCCTGGTGCAAGTCCATGGTGAAAGGGTTCTAAGCCTTGGGGAAATTTCTATGTGTAGGAAAACCCGCATGCTCTATAAATGCAACTTTGTCTTCCAAAGCTGTTTCTAAGTAGGTGTCTGTCACTATATATGTAATAAATGACTCCGGGGACCCCTGTACATAAAATACACGGGGTAAAAGAAGATGGCGCAATGGGTAGCGGCTAGGTGTGTGCAGTCAACTAACGATGCAAAAAAAAGAAACGATATGTGCAGTCAAAGTGAGGTGCCATCTACTATTTCAACAAACTGGAATCCACAACGGTGCACCGGTGTTTTGGCTTTCGCACTGGTAGCACCTTTCAGATTTTCCAATATTTTCCAGTGTGATGGAGGCATATGCAGGCACTGGTTGGGACGGTGGACACCGTCAACTTGGAAAAACAAATGATCCTCACTGGTATTGATGGCATAGGCCCGTTGGGAAAACCATTTTTCTCTACAAACAGAGACGAACTCCACTTCCATGTTAATGACTCGGAGAGTAGCCATACGGAAGACTCACTGGACTGGTGAAGACAACGAACTCTCTCCTGTACTCACGGTCTCCCCAATCCAAAGCGATGTAGATCTTGCCTGGTGGACCTCTAGTGGTCACGAGTAAACGATGAGTCAAAGTCAAATGTTTGAGACACCGTCCCGTCAATCCTGAATGATCAACAGGAAATGTTTGAGGTCCAACTCGCCGACCAACCCAAAACTAGAGATAGATGTCATACGACACTTTGCCAGACAATATGCGTACCATTCTTGGACATCCGAGGAACCTCAAAACAAGCGATCCCTGTTTCGGAATTCGTGCTCTGTCGTGCTGCCAGAGCTCCGCGCGATCTCTTGCACTTCGCGACTCAACTGTGCAGTCGAGTGGCCAAGATGGCATGAACGTAGAAGAGCCAAGGATGATCCTGACGAATAGCCACCATCTCAGCAGTACTAAGGTGGTCATCGCCTGCAAATGTCAAAAACCATCAAAAGCCGACAACTCACAAGCTCCAGCTCTGCTGTGGCAAACAGTGAAAGTTTTGTTTCCCTAGGAACATGAACATCAGGTATTGACGCAAAGATCAAGACATGTTCATAGGCCGGCAGACTGTATGGGGTGTCTCCCCTTTGAATAATGTTCTTCACTCTCATTGGCAACCAATGTGGAAAGATCAATGTGCCGGTGTCCATAAGCATTATGTTATTTGCCTTAATATATCAATATATTATTCGTGGTTGTCGCATCATGTCGCATCATCCACATCTGCCGCAAAAACCGCAGGGCCTTCTTTTAGCATGCCATTGCCGTTACACAACGTGCATGAACCATTCATGGAAAAAATCCCTGCCTTGAGCAGTTTCACCTTAGCTGGATGCGTCCAGGTCAGCGACTGACTACCTCTCAGCTATTCAGCTATTCCCTGGGTTCACCATTCCAACAGGAGGGAAACGCGCATGGCGAATCTCTAGCCGCAGCTAGCAGCAGTTGCCTCCCAGATGTTCATCCACTCAGGCACAAATAGTTTACCATCATCATTTTGAAGGGCTCCAAGTTGTTAAAGGTCAACGACATATCATTCATGTCACCACTTGTGGGTGTGCAACCGACCACTCAGATCCACTCAGACCACTCCCCTCCTTTCGGCCGCCTTCAGCACCGCATGCCATGGCACCCAAAGCCGAGTTCACTGGCACCATGATGATGCACATGGGAATGCCCACTGATGCCTGCCAGCAATCCCACCGAACAACTGGGAACCAAGATCGAAAAAAATATATCCATTTGGCCAAGCTTCAGAACACATACGAAGCTTCTCAACATTGGGTGCGGTGTTCATCTACTTTCCAGTGTACCGAGCAACTGACTGTTCTCACATTCCCTATTCTGAGACCAGCCAGAAGTTTCCACTCCCTGAAATGACTCCCCGAAAGCAGGTCTCCACCGATCTTCACATTCTCACACCTCCTCCCCCCCAACCAAAGCAACCCCACGACCAAAATCAAGCAAAACTCCCCGCCCATGTCGCACGGTCTAACGGTGGCCCAACCGCCCAATGTCGCACCAGCACGGTGGCGCCCAGCGTGCAGAAGTCACGCAACAATGTCGCATCCAGCCCGGCACGGTCCATGGCGTCCTGCCCAGTCGCGGTGGAGGACGGTCTGAGGGAAGACGAGAATCTGGGAGGTCATATGACCATGCGAAACCTACATGAGTTAACAAACACCTATATGGGTGTTTAATATTGTTTAATGTACTTTTTTCATTTGGGTTCGATAGTTGGAGTGTGTGGGTGAGGTAATTCATGGTACTTCGGTTTCTTACATGTCTCAAAAGATTCAGGTTTTTTGGGATGGTCCATGTCAGCCATTGTGTAGTTGAAAAATGCAAAGCCCAAACATGGGTAAACATGAATTCCTCCATAAGCCCTGGACAGGATGAGCCAAGTCCTCTGTGCTGGTGTTCACACTGAAGGAGAGCCAATCGCAGATCCTTCCCTGTGAGCCGAGCTGTAGGGGCACCGCAGGTGGGAGTTGAGCCTTCTAGGTCTTGGAGAAAGCCAGCACTCAGAGTACAGTCAAGTCATGAGAGGCTTTCCAGAACCAAGGAAACGAAGATCGAGTCAGAATCAAACCGTGAGGAAAAGAGAAGCAACGCCGCCCAAACATGCCCAAACCATCTGGAGCTGCAGTTCGACTAGGAAAAAACAGCGTTGGATTCATGCTGCTAAAGGAGTCAAACAAGACCACTTTGGTAGTGAGACCTTGCCACAAGCCTGTTACTGTTCAGAAAAACCGCCTAAATCTTGGATGTTGGCGCACTTCAGCAATCAACTCTCTCATGGTGAAAGCGTAGATCGACTTTTCCTTCTCTGATGCTTAGATCGACTTTTCCAAGTTCTGAATTTCTATTTAGGATATCATTCCAGAGACGAACATCAACTGCTGACCGCTGCAACTGCTGACCCGCGCTAGCGAAGCAACCTGGTGAGTACCTTTCTTTTTGGACCCTCCCTCTTGCAAACTAACATGGAACCTGAGAATTGACCAGTGGAAGACCATTTTCCTCTACAACCAAGTGGTTTTGGGGGTGCATGTGGTCCTCTGCAGGAGAGTAACCCAGTCGAGTAACCCTTAGTTTCGCGTCAAAATCACATCTGAATCAAATGAAATGGATGACGGCTGTACCCGACTAGCTCAAAATGTTGCAGGAGCAAGACCAACGATCGAATTTGGAGGGAACACCTGTCCGGCCCAATGGTAACAGAAACGACTCACTAAACCCAGTGGTCCATTTCAGTGGATCCTCACCTTTAAGAAACATTCTTGCAAGTAGCAAGGCACCCATTTCACCAGTGTCTGGGGAAAATGCCTATCATGCACTCAGCCATCGTGGTTTGCTGCTTCCAAGAGAGGACAAATTGAGCCAAAGAAAGGAAAGCCATCCACCAATCCTGTTCTGGCTCTTGGGTGCATGATTCACGTGAGAACATGGTAATGGTGGGTGACTAAATACTGGATGATAGGTGAAGAGAGAATGGTCTGGTAGATGATAGTGGATGATATATAGTAATGTATAGAAATTACGGTGGCCCAATTTGGGGGACAGCCATTCTATCGTGGAGCCCAATCAGCTACGACTTCACAACAAATCGGACACATCCTCACCTTCATCTCCCGCGCGGCAGTTCGACGCCGGCGCAGGGGCAAGTGATCCATGCCCTCGCTGCGGTGAGAAGTGAGGGACTCCTGGCACAGCCACGACCACGATCAAAATGGGATGGATTGAGTGGTGAGAGTTGCATTGTGAGAGTTGCCGGAAAGAAATCAAATCCGCCGACCCCACACCGTGGGGTGAGGCGTGACTGTCGATGTTAGCCTTAGCCTTTAAGCCTTAGCCTTAGCCTTAACCTTAATCCTTAGCCTTAGCCTTAGACTTAAGCCTTAGCCTCAGCCTTAGCCTTAGCCTTAGACGTAGCCTTAGCCTTAGACCTTACCTCCCCTACCCCTCCGGACCTTTGTTGCAGTGACGAAATCCCGACCTAAAAGCTACGAGATTTGGCGTGATTGCGACCTGAAAGAGACCTGATGGTGACCTGCATTGTCCAAGATTCTGCCATCCCAATTGATTTACATCTTCGGGCACCCTCTCGACCCGCGCGGGAATATAAGCGCGGTCCAAAATGGTCCTGGGCTCGAATCCCGGGCTGGTCGCGGCGTGGTCCCGGCCAATGCCCTTGCTTTTTTCGTTCATTTTGTCACGTTTTCTGTTGGTTTATGAGATTTTCAAAGGCTTTTCTAGCATTTTCCTAGGAATGCTCTAGGCTTTGT